ACATCTATCAATTAAAATCTTTTAAATATTTATTTCAATATTTAAATGCGTTTTAAACGGTATTTTAATATTTACAAGGGGAACAACTGCCCGCTCTTAACCCCTGCCGGCGCTCATGGTTTTGTTCCATATAAATGGAAAGAAAGTGGTGTTTTGTAATGGCCAGTTCACGCAAGAAAAACCCGCCGCCCGCACCACGTCAACAGCTGGCAATCAAGCCCAGTCATACAGCCAGGCTCTAAATCAGGGAGGCATACCCACTCCCCCACAGCCGATATCCACGGACCTAGCAACGCTTATGTTTTCACTTATTACTACAATCGACCTATTCAACAAAATGGCTACTCAAGATCAAACCTTATCGGCACTATCTAGGGCAGTCTTTAATTCTGGAAAATGCGCGTAAAAATGAAAAAGCCAATCCAACTCAAGATCATACTGTGGAACACAAACGGCATACGTCCCAGAAGGCTAGAACTTGAAGCCCTATTAGCCGAAATCTCTCCGGAAATTGCTCTAATAACTGAGACCAGACTTGGCCCCACCCACCCCTTCAAGATACCCAATTATGCTGTATACAACCACATCAGGCAAGCTCAAGATGGTGGAGGAGGGGTCATGTTATTGGTAAAAAACTCAGTCCCCCATTGTGCCGCACCGTTCATCCAAAACAGCGTTCTGGAAGCGGGAGCGGTTTACATAGACACGAATTTTGCCGGAAAAATAAAAGTCCCACACCAACTATTCTGGCCGGTGATTTCAACGCCAAGCACCCATCCTGGAACAGCCGTACCTCAAACGGTTATGGGAAAAAATTACTAACACTTGCAGAAGACTCGGACTGGGACCTGATCGGACCCGCAGACCCCACCTACTCACGGCCGAATCACCAACCAGATGTTCTTGACGTGGCCATATATAAGAATTATCAACACGACATCACGGCCAAAACTCTCACCGGTACTTCGTCCGATCATAACCCAGTCTGGGTCCGCACACACCATCTCAAGACACCATGGAAAAACAAATCACTGACTGGCATGTCTTCTATAACCTAATGAGTTCCATCAACCACCCCATACCTCCATTAAACACCCCCCTTGAGGTGGAACGCCGAGCCGAGTCCATCACGGCAGAAATCCATCGAGCACTGCAGGCGGCCACCCAAACCAGGACCATCCCCGTAAACAACCCCCTAACCATTCCCCCGGAAATTAAAGCCCTTATAAAAAGAAAAAGAATAGCCAAGAGAAATGCCGAAAGAACTCTGGATCCGAGAGACAGGAACGTCTTTAACCGTCTATCATCTGAGGTAAAGACGGCTCTTAGAGAATTTCGAAACAAAAACTGGGAAGAAACATTGCAAAATCTCGAAGCATCTGACAGAAATATTTAGCGCATTATAAGAGGGTTAAAAACCAGAGAACCACCACAAATACAGCCAATACAAGGACCTGCGGGCTTAATCTTCCAAAGCCAAGAAAAAACTGACTTCCTCGCTCAACATCTTGAAGCTCAGTTCATGACAAACCCACCTCTTCCCAAACACCTAGAAGAGGACCAGGCCATGGCTGAATTTGTCAACGACTTCATACAGGACCAGGACGAAGAGGAAATCCGCCCATTCCTTACAAGCGAAATCCGAGCAGTCATCGCAGGCCTTAAAAACAAGTCAGCAACTGGAGAAGACCAAATCCCAAATATTGCCCTCAAACATCTCCCGGAAACAACTATAGTCCAACTCCAAAATCTCTTCAACGCGGTAATCAAGACAAAACACTTCCCCAGTTGCTGGAAGAAGGCAAAGGTAATCCTTATACCCAAGCCCGGCAAGAGCCGATCCTCCCCAGAAGGCTTCCGACCTATTTCGCTATTGTCAACTCTCTCCAAGCTGCTCGAAAGAGCTATTAAGTTCCGGCTAGATGTTGAAATCACCCAAAAAAACCTGCTGCCGGATGAGCAGTTTGGATTCCGGAAACAATTATCGACAGAGCTCCAGATACTGAGAATATCGGAAAACATTACCCAGGCCTTGGGCCTTAAGCTAAAGACTGGCATGGTTCTCCTCGATATCAGTTAGGCCTTTGATCGTGTCTGGCACGTGGGGCTACTAATTAAATTGATCAACATGGATCTGTCACCACCCATGATTAAACTCATCAAATCTTACCTTGACGGCCGCACCTTTTCAATATCGTTCGAAGATACGAACTCAATTCAAATGCCCATAAGCGCAGGGGTACCTCAAGGGTCAGTGCTTGGACCAACATTGTTCAATTTATTTATGACAGACCTTCCACGTAACCCAGGCACTGACCTGGCACTCTACGCAGATGATACTGCCATTTTCGCCAGGAGCACAAATATTCACCAAATACAGGCAAAGCTCCAAAAAGGGTTAAAACGTATTCAGGACTGGGCTGACCGCTGGCGTTTCAGAGTAAACCCTTCGAAAACCCAGGCAATACTCTTTCACAATGGCAGAACTCTCCCCCAATCCACCTCATACAAGGGCACGAACATCCCCTGGAGCCCCACAGTTACGTACTTGGGGGGTAATTATGGACTCCAAAATGACATGGCGCTACCATATCGAAGAGTCCCGTCGAAAAATTAGATCCACAAGCGCAGCGCTCAGGCCTTTATACGCAAACACGGCCCTATCCTTAAGTAACAAGCGCTTAATATGGCTCTCTATCCTTCGACCTATTGCCACATATGCTTGTCCGGCGTGGTCTACAGCAGCAAGGACACATTTAAACAAGCTCGAAGCACAACAAAACAGATACATGAGAGCCATAACATCTGCCCCATGGTTTGTGACAAATGTCCAACTCAGAAGAGAGCTCTTGAACCAATTATCGCTACCATTGGTAAATTCACCGAAGCGACTTTACAAAGAGCTGAGCTCATAGATAACTCCCTTCTGACAGGATCTTTGGACTATAATCCTAACAACCGCACAAGACACAGAGGAGCCCGAGGTGCCGCAGAAACTCTACTCGAATAACAATAAAAAACATTTAATTTTGCCTTATTAAGTTTTAATTTCTCTTGAAATTATATTCAAACATTTCTCTAACCCTCTTGCCTCACAAGAGTTTAACATTAAACAATCATGGCAAATATTAATTTTAAGATTTTATTAATTCTAATGAGTTCACAAGTTCCAATTTTAATGTTAATTTTAATTTGATGTTAATCTTGTTCACTATCTATTTACGATTTTGATTTTAATATAGATAATAATTTTGTTTCTGAATTTAATTTAAATTTTAACTTTAAGTTTATTTAAACTTTGATTTCTGATTTCAACTCTTAATTTTGATTTAAGTTATTCAACTTTTTCTCTCTCATTGTGACATTTATGATAAAACAATTTCCTTCCAGCTATTCAAGACTTTTAAATACGCTCAGTCAATCTACGCAGACAGCGGGAGTGCAGTGACTTATTATAGACACTGACACTCCCGTTCCCCTGCCATATAATATTTAGACCGCTGGCGGCCCAAATACCTTTACAAACCCGACCTTCCACCCCACTCCTCGGTTTGCGCAAGCAAACCCCCACCACCAAACCATGCAAACACTCCTATCCAAGAGAAAGAGTAGAAGGTCCTAATGACCTACTCTTGCTCGGGTTCAAGCCCAGTATGCCCCCCCTTTGTTGTCAGGTCACATTATTATTATTATATTAATGGCCTAAAAAGATTCAACATCATTATGAGAAGATCCTTTAAACACTTCCACTGGGATCAATAGAAATGCAAAGTTAAAAAACATTTATTTATGGTCAGCCTGTCCGGTTAAAACACTTTAGCGACATCTTGCTAGTTCCGGCGTTCCCAGCAACAAAATCAGAACTAACTTTAAATCTTAAACAAGTCCAAAGAACCTGTTAGTAGGTATACCTATCGTAGTAAGCCTACCTCAAAGTACAGCGCTTAAATCTAAATAGGTAAAACTTGGCCATACTCGTGACCAAAACATGCATATAAAAAACGTTAAACAATTAGGGTTAGAATTACTAAAGTTGTCCATACAAATTTTGTACTAATATTTTGTCGATAACTAGTAAATCAATAGAACAGCCTGACTAACGTTTATGCCCTGTGATTTACTGTGAGGGATATAACTACAAGTAGGTATATAGAGAGGTAGGTACATATTAGGTAACTTGGACCATTTATTTTTACTATAAATTTAATGGGCAACTTATGCTGCCTTTTGGTGAAGGTTCTCCTAATTACTTAAGACACAAATAAACATTAAATGCTAAAAACATCACTAATAGGCTTCACCAAAATATGCTGGAATAAAAAGTCCAATGTGAATGTATTCCAAGGTGTGTCAAATCATATACCTATAACTTAGCTATAGGTATATGGGTCGAATATTTTTAAAATATCTCACATATCGCAAAAAGGCAACACATTTGGGCAACTTATCCAAAACTGGACCACGAAACAAAAATTTGTACTGTACCAGCCCTAGGAGAAGCATATCTTACCATGGTATTCCAGGCTCAAACAATAGGTATTCCAGGCTCAAACAATAGCAATTGAAAATTAATTAAGACTTATAAAGAATTTAGCTATTATTAAATTTACCGACCCTTGTATTTGTATTTAATTTCATAAAACATTATAAATTGAATCCTAAACAAGAAACTAAAAATGGTTCATTATTTAAATTCTTTAATAGATTGTAAATGCTTAAATATTTAAGTTAAGTTGAAAAAAAGTTAAAACCAAAGGTATAGGGCAGCATTTCTCAAAGTGCGAATTAGGCCAAGGTTTTGTTAAAATTACACAAAAAAATTGGTCGGTTTCAATATTTTAATTTTACCTCTCCGTAGTCCGTCATTTTAGATACGATTTTATAGAGCCTCCTAATAAATAGAGAAACGCTGGGATAAGCATATTTATTTTTTAGAATATCGCTACAAAGCATGCATTTTTTCTATCGGGCCACTTAATCTTTGCATAAATGGTACTTACAGCTGCTGTGAAATATGTTCCGTAATCTTCATTGGATCCTAATTGTAATATGGAAATATTATTTTTGGATAAAATCATAGATTTATTAAAAAGTAATAGATCATTATCCTTGGTATTTTCCTTTATAACGTTGCAAATATGGGAACCGATCTTATTATAGACCACGCTAAAAGATATAACGAATACATTTTTATGTTAAAAATGGGAAACAGCAAACATACATTTTTTGTTTATTTATTATTGTATTTAAATATTACTATAGTAGATTATAATCATACGAATTTAATTTTGTTTTGCCAAAAAGTCATTCAAACTGCAAACCGCGCTTTTGTTTCAAGTATGCTTTCAAGAACTTTTGGACCAGTGCCGGGCTGCCATGTGGTATAGAAAACTTTCATACCACATGGCTTCCCGGCACTAATAGGGTCCAAAAGTTGCCAGTGTTGCCAATTCGAAAATGATTTTGAGAGTTGCGGATATTTTATTAATTATGTTATAAGGCAAATAATTTAATACATTACAATATTGGAAAATTAATGAAATTTTGTAATCATCCACATTTGCTCCGCCTCTATAAAATGAAGGAAATAAGAGAACGAAAGGTAATCTACCTTTTGTTCACAGCTGTAACTGTATCTAGCAAATGTGCTTCCATATCACAGACATGTCTGTCCGGCACTGATTACCATTCCCTGTTCGTGGAGGCACACCTAAACAAAAGCACGGTGACAAGGTAAAAAACTATTTAAAAAATTCATTATCTTTTAATTATATTTGCTATCTTAGCTGCATTCTTATTTTTTAAATTAAATTTTATAATAATCAGTAGTGCAAGTATAATACTGTAAATAAAGAGGTATTGTCTTACCAATGAAGTGCACATTTAATATTTATATTTTGATAATGGTTTGGAAACAATACATTTAACCTTTCCAATACTTCGTCGATATCTTTTTGAATATCTATTAAATCTGCTGTTCTTTTAAATGAGTATTTTTCCACAACAATATTTATTTTATTTAAAATATCTGTTTTATTGCATGTATTTTCTAAAATTTGGGTGGCACTAAAAATAATAATAATTTTTAATTAAATAATAATAAAATTTCAATTTAAATATAATATTATATTATGTCAGTGGGATGGGATATTTTACTTTGCCTATAGCTTCATTCATTGTTCAGTGCGAAAATCAATTCAGATTATGCTTACGATTGCCAAATAAAAATACTAATTTTAAATTCGCCAATCTATTTGTTTATATTTATTTAGTGTATTTTATTATTTTTTTCGCGAAATTGAACTTAATTATTACTTGTTACAGCAGGCGCGTGTCAAACGGCCTTGCATACCCCGACACGCGGGGGGGCCCCCGGTATATTGGGGGCTCCTGGGCCCCCAATATAATAATAATAATAATAATAATCGTCTTTATTTTTTAGTAAAATATTACAATAATATTATTAAATACTTTACATAAAGTGGCACACAATGGCGAAGTTTAGCCCAAGGCTACTCTTACACTTAACCAAGTGTGATATTATAATTGGTGTTTAATAAGACTAGAAAATAAAATAAATAAGAAATAGCAACAACAAAAGTATATACACATAAACAATATGAAAATTAAACAAGTTAAGAAATTAAAAAAAAAATAAAATATTCCTATATATATCTATACACTGTATAACATATAATTACTCTCTTAAACAACAAAATTGTTTACATAATAATATTATAAACTTAAATGGAAAAAGAAGCTCTTTTACTTTTTTTAAATTTATTTAGAGACATAGATTTATAATTATTATCAATTGAGTTGTAGTAAGTTACTGAGTTAAAAGTGAAGGACCGGGTGAATAAAGCTGTTGAGTGCTTAGGTAAAGATAATAGGCGAGCATGTCGTGTGTGGCTATCGTGTATGTCATGACCAAAAACTAACTTTTGTCTTAAGTATAGAGGTGTAAAGGTAAGAAGAATTCTGTGCACAAATGTTAAATAGTGGAGCTTTACAACGTCGCCTGGTTTAAGCCATCTAAGTTCAGCTCGTTTGATAGATACATGGTCATATTTTCTGAGGTTAAAAACAAATCTCACACAAGTATTTTGTATACGCTGAATACAGGTTTTTGTTTGCAGGTCAAGACACGGGTAGTACAAAATATTACAATAATAAAAAATTGGCAGAACAAGGCTTTCAGTTAATTTCTTTCTCATTTTAAAATTTAAAATATATCTGTTGCTATAAAGCAGTTTTAATCGTAAATATGTTTTTTTCAGAAGGTTTTTAACATGACCAGTAAACCGAAGATTTTCATCCACCAGGACACCCAGATTTTTAGCCTCTTCTAAGAAATTTATACTTTCATTATTTATAAAAAGTTTGATATTTGATTTTAATTTTTCGCGTAGATTTTTAGAGCAAACTCTAAGAAAAAAGCATACTCTAAGAAAAAGTAATACCTATGTATATCAAACAAACTTCAAAAATACAAATATGCACATTTAAACATTTCAAATCCATATTTAGTTTGTCACCATTTCTTTAGAACATAAAAAATGTGAACGCCCAAACAATTGTCAACCCTGGCTGGTCGAAACCTCAGTGATTCCCATAGGTTATTCCCCGTTTTAATGGGAATTTCCGGTTATTAGCGAGTCTTTGTTGTTTCACTTGTTACGTTTGAGTTTTGAGTTGATTTTTAAAATATTAAAATGAGTAGTTCGCGCAAATATCTGAGTGGGGCTCAAAAAAGAAAACTAGTTGAAAAAAAAGAGGAAAAGAAGAAGATTGCCAAAATTGACACGATTTTTCAAAAAAAAAAGTTATATCAACTTCTGAAACGCCATCAACATCCGCAACCTCATCATCAAAAACAGAAGTGTATGATGATGAAACTATCCTACCAGACTTGAAGGTGCAAATATTCTCGAAAACGAAGATTCAGATTTTGAGTCAAGTCTCGAATCAGGCCCAATATTCTCCAGTGACTTAGCGCTTTTTTTAAACACTGAATTAAGTGAAGGTCTAAAAAAGCAGCTTGTGCATGTTGGTCCGTATAGGCCCGAAAGGCCTATAAGTGGTTTTGCAAATGACGACTCAAACCGATCATTTAGTGAAGTGTATTATAAGAAAAGGACATCATCTGGACAGTTGTTGAAACGGTAAGTTGAAAAATTTGCTTTAGAATAGAGAACAGAAGATGCACTTGCTTGCTTGCTCTATTTCGAGCACTCCGGCTGCGGCGTTGTGCTAGAAAAATCGCGCGTATTTTAAAGACCTTGTTATTCACTTATACTTTTATATACTATTATATTTTCTTTCAATACTTCACGCTACAAAATAAAAAAACACTGTTTTCCAATACAAGTGTTTTATTTTTTTTTATTTAAGATTCTGGATATCCTACTCAGTGACTTTAAATGGAGTATACTGTCATCCTTGCTGGTTGTTTGCGGATAGGAGCAGTACCTCTTTCAACCCTGCTTGGACCACGGGAATGTTGAATGATTGGAAATGCCTTTCAAAAAAAATTTTGACACACGAGAATGCAAGAGTTCATCTCGATGCATGTTTGGTGTATTCGACGTGGAAAGCTATATGTTTAAATGAACTGTAACAGTTACAGTTAGTTATCGTTAGGTAGAGGCACCAGTTTTGGCCACTTTAAGAGAAACTTTGAGTTTTACGCTGCCAATATTCGTTTATAGAGTCTAGCTTTGGATGAACTATTTTAACTGTTTCCATCTCTATCGTTAATTTAGTATATCTACATAGAATTTTCCTTCTCCTTAGTATCGGAGGATGATGTCAATAAATATCTGTTGGGTATTAAGTCCAAGTGTACAGGTCATGACGATTTAAGTATTGATATGTTGATATTATGTTGCCCTTATATATTACCATACATAACACATATCATTAATACATGTTTTCTCTATTCCACATTTCCAGAAGCCTGGAAGATCTCACGTGTAATTCCGCTACCAAAAAAAGATATTATTACCACATATAATGACTTACGGCCTATTTCTATATTACCTGTTCTTTCTAAACTCCTGGAAAAAATTATGAACTCACAAATTTTAAAGCATGTTAATCATTACGATATTTTGCCACCAAGACAGTCTGGATTTAGAAAAGGATTTAGTTGTGCTACTACTTTATTGGACGTTAATGATGATATACTAAAAGACTTGGATCAGGGTAAAACAGTGGCATTGGTGCTTCTAGATTACTCCAAAGCGTTTGATACAATTAATCATAGTACCTTACTGGCTATCCTACATTTTTTGGGATTTTCGTCAAATTCAATAAATATGCTAAAAAGCTATTTAAATAATAGATTACAATTTGTACAGACAGGTAGGGGTAAATCTGGAAGGGCCAATATTTGTTGTGGCGTGCCTCAAGGCTCTATACTGGGGCCATTACTCTTTTGTTTGTATACGTGTAATTTAGGCAATATTTTAAGATTCTGTACACCATACTTTTATGCTGATGATACGCAGCTCAAATTTTCATTTTATTCGGATAATATCTTGGATGCCAATAAAATAATTAATGATGATCTAACAAGTTTGGTCTTGGAGTCCAAGAAACATCATCTATTAATAAATGCACAAAAATCAACTATTTTAGTATTTGGTAGGTTTAAGGAAAACTTTCAAAATAGTCTTAGGATAATTGTAGATGGGGATGACTTAAAATGTTCAAGGGAGGCTAAAAATTTGGGTATCATAATGGATACAAATTTAAGATACGAAGGACATATATCTAAATGCATTAAAAAAGCTTATAGCAGTCTAAAAATGCTTTACCCCCATCGTCACATTCTATCCCAGACTTTAAAACTTAAACTAACTGATTCCCTTGTACTAAGTCACTTTAACTACTGCGATGTTGTGTATGGCCCCTGTCTAGATAAAGTTAATATTAACCGCATTGAAAAAGTACAAAAGTCTTGTCTTCGATATACTTATGGTATAAGGAAATACGATCCTATTTCTTATAAGCTACAAGAATGTAAGTGGCTTAATATGGAAAATAGACGAAAACTGCATGCTGTGACATTTTTTTCAAATATAATTTTATACAAAAGTCCAAAATATCTATACAATAAAATTACTTTTAGAACTGATGTCCATACATTAAACTTGAGACATAAAGGCCTTATATCACCACCTCTTCATAAAACTACTCTATTTAAACGGTCTTTTACATATAACGTATATGCATTATATAACAAGTTGTCCGATTCATTTAAAACCCTTCAACCTAATAGCCTTAAGTATGCTTATAAAAACTATCTCCTACAAACAGCTCAATCTTAAATAAATACCTTTTACATAATATATTATATTAACTAGGTTGTTTATACTCGTATACCACTTTATTTATTTCTACCCTAATGTGTTTTTTGTACGTGTTTGGTGTTTAGTGTTATTTTTTTCTTTTTTAAGGACTGGAATTTTTATATCAGTTTTAAACTGCCTTCCAGCTCCTTTTTATTGTCATTAAATAATTATATAGCTGAATTTTGTATTTTCTTTTTTTTTTGTAATTATATAGCTGAATTTATATATTCTTTTTCTTTTTTGTATTTGACAATAAATAAACCATTTATTATTATTATTATTATTAATAAAAAAAAAAAGCACGTATGTAGCCCAAAAATAAATTTATATTGAAAAAGTTGCATTTCACCAGTTTTGGCCAGGAAAACACCGTATTTGACCATAGGAAGACCCAGTTTTGGCCACCAATTAAATAAAGCGATTTTTATTGAGTTTTTATTATTTTTTGTAATAAAAAAGTTAAAAAAATATAAAATTAATAACAAAAATACATTCTAAAAAATACATCTTAAAACAAATATAACTCTATAGAGTTCTATATTTCAGAGCGTTATATATTTCAGTGTTATAATTATCAGTGCGCCCGTTTAGTTCGGTAACTAATCTTTATATTTTTTCATTTTGTTCACTAAATATGCTCCCTCGTGTTCTTCTAAACAGGTTCTTTACATCCTCATGTCATTTCAATTACATCCTCATATTCATACAGCAACTCGTTTTTTCCAATTTCCAATAAATGTAGCCTTAGCCTTAGAAGACACCATACATTATTACATTATTTTTATAACCATCCCAGGAAAGTAACTTTTCTCGTTATTTACAATGACAAATGGTTCCTTATAATTCTTTTCTTTGGTTTTATATACTTCAGTTTTACTTGCCGTATTTTAGGTGTTTGAATCTTCGTCTGAGGATGTGCCTCCATTTGCGGAAACGGGTTTGTCACTGACGAATGTGTCCTTATAAATATCTTTTTTGGTTTTATATTTTTCTATTTTAGTTTCCGTATATTCCTTGTTTAAATCTTCATCTGAGTATGTGCTTCAATTTGCAAAAACAGGTTTGTCAGTGCAAATGTGCCCTTATGAATCTCTTCTTTGATTTTATATACTTCTATTTTAGTTGCCGTATTTTCCTTCTTTGAATCTTCATCTGAGGATGTGCCTCCATTTGCGGAAACGGGTTTGTCAGTGAATTGGTTGGTTAGTTTACAAACTAGCTAAAGCTTGGCTATTTTGTGTTACTAGAAATTTTGATTTTCATATTAGCCAAACTGAATTGGATAGTATACAAACTATCCAGCTATTTTAGTTTCCCTAATAATAAGATCCTTGGTTATTTTGTAAACTAGCCGCTAATTTAGTTGAAAATATGATTTCAATTAAAATAGCTGACAGTTTGGCTAGTTTATAAACTATCCAGCTAGTTTATAAACTATCCAAGTTTGCACATTAGCCATAACATATACATTTATTATTCTGTACTATATTTATTTAAATTTTACTATAGGTATGTGACATAATGTAATATAAAAAGGCAGTTGTAAAAAATTATAAAAGGAGTGACATACCGTATGTAACTCCTTTTATAATTTTTTACAACTGCCTTTTTATATTACATCCATTCAAACCAGTTTTATTATTTGTAGAAACTTTTATTTTTGTATTTTGACGAGTTTTATATCAATTTTGTAATGATCCTTAAACCATAAACATTATTATTATTATTCCCAAGGTCTTCAGGATAGTTAAAATGTATTGCCGTGTCCAAATCTTATTACCTTAATTTGTTTACTTCTGCTATTTTTGGTTTAGTAGTACCTACATAGGTACGTTTTCCCAACGGTTTTATAGTCAGCATTTCCAGTTCAGTTATGGGTTGGATTTCCACAAAGGCATTGTTAAATTTGTTGTCAATCTTTAAATTTTTATAATAGTTGAAATAATTAACATTTTAAATTTAAGTGTAAATAATTATATCTCTTTTCATTATTTAAAGTAGGTACTATCATGGACACCAAAAAGTCCCATGCGAAAAGAGATAGCGCATGCAATACAAGGCTTCGCGTTGCGGTTTTGCCAGATTTTAATCTTTACTGCTAATTTGTAGGAAAGATTAATTTATATTATTTATTTATTTTTAATGGCTTAACCGCCAGCGCCAACCAAAAGTTTATAAGTTATAAAGAGTTATATTATATTATATTATATTATATTATATTATATTATATTATGTATCAAGTTTGATAAACGCCATTTTAGACACGAATGTAATTTAACCAAATGAGTTTCTAAAAAAGTTTATAAACTAGTTGCCTACTATACTTTTTCAACGACAAATACTTATTAATATCTAAAAAAGATTTAAATTAAATATTTTTATAGAGCGACATCTATAAAACAATAGAGTAACCAACTTGAGAATGTGTAATAATGTCAAATGTAAAATTTTTTTGTAAAAATCGAAATTTATCCCTTGAAAATAGACCGTTTAATCTCATAAACCAGTTTTTCACAGTGTAAGTAAAGAAAATGTTATATTGGCACTCCACGCGGTGGACTCACCAGCCGAAATTAAGTAAAATTACTATATTTCTTTATTTTATACTGCCGGCTGCAATGTTCATATAAAAATTTCAAATATTAACGTTGAGAAATTATTTAATACTTTTGTATTTTTGTATTAAGATAAAAATAATTTTTACATTAAGTATTATTTTAAAAGGACACTTTATTTTAACGATTGTATGACATTTAACAACTGTCAACTAACTTAAAACTAACTTAGTGACCTTGATACACATTGATGAGTCACTTGGTGTCATGTAAACATGTACGATGTAAATGATAATCGATTTTAAAATAATTGACAATATATATATATATATATATTTGTTTGGCTAATTAAAATGATCCAATTATTTAAAAATTATAAATACCAACAATATTATTATTAAAATAATCTGGCTGGCAAAAAAATCAAAATAATTTGCCACAAATTTATGCTACTTTTTAGTTTAATAAATACATATTAACTTAATAACTTACTTTCTTAAACTGCTTATGTCCATTTTAAAAGGTTATAACCTTTTAAATTAATATATTACCTAATTTAAAAGATTTTTGTATCTTCTTATTTTATAGGAGTATTTTTATAATTGCCATGGAATTATTACGTAGGTAGGTATTATACAAGCAGGGTTAAACATCTTGTTTGTAACAAAGTATGATTGTTTCCATAGAAACTATGTTTACAAACAAAACAAACAGAACATACAGTATTTGTTTATTTCGTTATAAATAAGTTAACAATTAAACTAATATAAAATTATGGATTGGAAAGAAACTGTAACTTCAATGTCAGAAAATATATTTCCAGGAATTTCAAAAAAAAATGATCAAGATGTATACGGTAATGTACCTAATAAAGAAAAAATATTTAATCATTTAAAAAGTAAGTTAATATTTAATATATTTTAGGATTTGAAGTAATGTCTAACTTACCTCTACAGATGAGTCTCTATTTTAATGTTATTTTTGTTCCTCTATGGGGCTTGCTCTTAACATTATTTCTGGTAGAAAATGTAAGATTATAATATATAGTTTATATTTAAAAAAATACCATATTTTTTTTTAGTTTTATTCGTATACAGAGTTATATAAATTTATAGTTATAACAATATTATCAACAATATTCATAATGGAAATATTAAGATTATACCTAGGATACGAAGGAAATTTAAAAGATAAGGTATATATACATATATATAAGCCATTAATAGTATTTGTAAATTTTATACAGGGGGTCTGGTATTTACGTTGACTTTTTTGTCACTTTAAATACCAAAAACTTTCTTATTTCAAACAAAACTATTAGGTATACAATTTTCACATCATTCGACACAATGTTTTCTATTGAAATGCTTTAGCACTACACTGCCCTAATATGGAGAAAGGCAGTAACTGCTAAACAAGAAATTTGTGGAAAATTAGCATAAACCACATTTTTATAAAAAGCACTAGGTATTTAATTGATTTTTTAAAATTATGAGATATTTGACTGCATTTCCCTGTTGAATTCGGTAACAAAATGTCCATAGCTTTACCATATCACAAGAAAACGCATTTTGAATTTTTTTGCAGTTACTGCCTTTCTCCATAGTAGGGCAGTACACCTAAAATGCTTGTTTTTTTATTTCTAATATGAGTAGGTAGTGAGCGTTGGATTGTCTTTTATTTCGTATTTATGAAGTAATGTCAATGTCAACGTGTATGACAATTGTGTTACAATGGATGATAATAATATTCTAAACATGTTTTATACATATGGCGAGTGCGGAAAATTTTTAGAAAAAACAATAAGAACTTTTAATCCCAATTTAACCCCACTCACCAAAATTAAATTCCGGACGATAGAGAAGAGATTCATGGCACAGTAAAAGTAAAACGAAATAGGCAAAACTGGTGACAGGCAACAAAGAAAATCAAATCAAAGTCTTGAGATTTTTTAATGCATCAGATGAGTTGAATCTGCCCTTGGTATTCCTTATACATCTGCCCAGCGGATACTTAAGAATACCGGAATGTACAACTACAAGTTCCTAAAAGTACAAGGCCTTGTAGATGCCCATTTTCAAAGAAGGGAGCGGTTTTGCACGGAGTTTCTGGGCAAAATTGACGAGGATAACTATTTTCTGGGAAAAATTATATGGACAGACGAAGCCAAATTTTCCAGAGAAGGCATTGTTAATTTAAGAAAAACCTACATGTGGTCCGGCAAGGAAATTTATAACAAAAATTTGGTTTTAACGTTTTTTGTCTGTTGATGAAGGATTAATTTTCATTTTGTATCTACGAAGAGAACCTGTCATCAGAAAAATACCTGGAAATATTTATATTTATAAACTGCCTTTAAGCGAAAGGTTTCTTTGCTGGTGACTTAGATGGCGCGCCGGCACTTTGTTCTAGCCGGGACGGAAGATTTGCGAATATTATTTAATGAAAAATGGATTAAAAGAGGTTTTCCATGGGAATGGCCTCCAAGGTCACCGGACCTAACACCTCTAGATTTTTATCTTTGGGGTGTTATAAAAGCTATAATTTATTCAAATACCCACCAACAGCAAAGAATCTCTTGCTCAGAAAATGAGACAAGCGTTTTCAGAATTGTCCCATGAAGAAATTTTGAGAACTTCTGAAGGTGCCTTGCGACGTATCAATATGTGTCGTGAACAACACGGCCGATACATTGAACAATTACTTTGGATTTGTTATGTATAAAATATGACATTGACATAGACAGAAACAAGAAATAAAAAATAAGCGATTTTTTCACGATTTTTGTAATATCTCTGTAAATATTCATTTTAGGTATAAAACATTATTTTGTGTTGAATGATGTAAATATTGTATGGTAGTTTTGTTTGAAATAAGAAAGTTATTGGTACCTATTTAAATTGACAGAAAAGTTAACGTAAATACCAGACACCCTGTATAAAATTTTTAAATACTAATAATGGCTCCTTAGTTAACAGGTACGCCAAAAATTAACTTTTTAACAATTGGTGATAATACAGACCTATTAGTAAAAATTTAAAAAAAAAATTAAATATTTCAAAAACTGTGAAAAATATTTAAATTTTAATATTTCTAGAATTTTACGTAAAATTCGAAAATGCAATAATATTTATATGGTTCCATTTGAAAAACCAATGTCGATATCACTTCCGGTTTAAACGGAAGTGATAACGCATTGAAAATAATTTTTAAAAATAGTTTACATTGGCTTATAATTGCTATACAAATTTCAAATTGATATCTTTTCCGTCCTCAATAAACTTCTCATGAATAAGTTAGGTGAATCACCCTGTATATGGTATATATGCCATATATATAAGCTTAATAAGCATGTAAGCATTATTTCACATTATACATAAGTTATATATACGAGAAATAATGCGCATTATCTCAAAAGTAAAACCGTTAAGTGAAGGAGTACCTACCTAATCAATGGTAAAACCAAACTTTTCCTGCCACAATTAATGACGTCATTTTTAAAGAAATTAAAAAAAAATCTAAAATGTTTTTTTAATACAATGCATTTTTAAAAGATCTTAAATTTATTACTTATTTATTTATAAGATTTTATTGTAACTCTGATAAAATATCAGATATTACCAGAATCCACAGTATACTCAGTATACGTAGCACGTAATTAAAACACTTTATATAAATTACAACTTAACGATAAAACAAAGTAAAAGAACGCTTAAATATACAGGGTGGCCCAAAAGTTTGGAATATTGAGTGTTACTTTTGAAATATCGAAAATTAAAGTTGTTGTTTGGTAAATTTTACGGTGATATTGCCAAATTAAAACAATAAATACGTAGCCCCAAGGAGGCCAACTTTTTTTTTAATTACAACCCCTTTTTTATATAAGAATTTGAAAGAGGCTATTTTCAACGGTGTAATAATATTGAAACGATATAGGAATGATATCAGGTGGTTGAGCGGTAAAAGTTAAAAAGTTTTCATAAAAGTTTTTTGTTATAGTTTTTTTAAGCTTCACATCGTTTACCTATAATTCAATTTTAATTCGACATTCAGTGCAATTTTCACATGAAATAGTGTGCTAGTAGTAAAATAAATAGCTATCGTTTTAAAAAACAATGCATTGTTGCGTAGGTACTGAAAAAGAAAGAATTGAAATTTTGTACTTAGCAAGGAGTATGTTTATTATTTAATGCCACGTATCCGGAAAAGAAGCCTCTTACACAATCATTCGTAAGCAAAATTGTAAAAAAAATTCTGAAACCGGAAGTGTGAAAAATAGGTCTAGAAGCGGTCAACTAAAACCTGCCACTGCTGGAGATATTGCAAATTCAGGAAGTACCTACAGTTTCTTGTCGGGGGGTTGCCCGAGACTGCGATATCAGTTATGCGTCAGTGTAAAGGGTATTTAAAAGAAAAAAATGCATCCCTATAAGGTGCATTTGTTGCAAGAATTAAGTAAGGACGATTTTGGTCGTAAGGCTGAGTTTTGTAAAATTTTGATAAAACGTTGTAATCAGGATCTAAATTTCTCAAGAAATATTTTATTTTCGGATGAGGCCACATTTATGCTGAACGGTTTTGTTAACCGTCATAACTGCCGCTACTAGTCCCATCAAAACCCGCATTGGAAAGAGGAGACACACACACACACATATAAAACATAAATGAATGGGCAGGAATAATTGACCAACACATAATAGGACCATTTTTTATTGAGGGCAATCTAACTGCAGCACAATATTTGAACCTCATAGATATCGTTCCAGCAGTAAGAGCATTGTACCCTAAGGAAATTAATGAAGTAGACGACACCATTTGGTTCTAGCAAGACGGTTTTCCACCACATTTTGGTTTGGCAGTAAGGAGATACTTATCTCAGGTATTTTCGAACAGGTGGATTGATAGACGAGAGCCAATAGAGTGGCCTGCTATGTCTCCAGACCTAACACCATTGTTTTTTTTTTTGGGTCATTTGAAGTCAGTGGTGTACAAAAATAGGCCGGGCAATCTTTAGGTTATCAGAGAAAGAATCGTTGTTGAAATTCATAATGTTCATGACGTTTGGCTGCAAAATGTAAAACAAGAATTTGAAAATCGTTTAGGCCACTGTCTTGCCGTTAAGCGCGAACATTTTTAATTTTAACTCTTACTTTAAGTACTTTGGAGGAATCATATTCTTGTTTTTATGCATATTTATATGTGTTAGGTTTAGGGACGTTAGCGTGAAAATGATGGTTACAGCGGACAAAATAAACAAAATTTGACATAAATAATATTGATTTCGACCATGCCTACAAACATCCTTTGCAAGAAAGACAAAAAAATAATTATAACCGAGTAATTTTATTTATTTTTTATTACTTTTTTTACGTTAGTAAGTTCTCACAAACACAAAAAAAAATAATAAAAAAATAAAGTTACTCAGTGAAAAATCAATTCTGGTTTTTACCCGGATATTCTTCTGGGATCTTAATTATTTTTGAATAAAAAATGTACTGGTACTTAAATCCAAATTTAAAAAAATAAATTGGTTCAAATTGGTTTCAATGGGTTTGGCGCTATGAATTACCAATTCATTCCAGGTGCATTTCTATTGGATTTAGCCAATAGAGACAAGCATATATGCCTATAGGCATGGATTGGTAAATTCCAATTTAAGCCGCTGATTTCATTGTAACTTACCAATATGAATGCAACTGGAATGAATTGGTGATTCATAGCTTCAAAACACATTTCAAACCAATTCAAACCAATTACTTATTTTTTATTGGATTATATCGGTCATTTACAATAGGGATTGGATAGGGTGGAAAATCCAAAGTTTGATATTAAACCTCCAAGAAGAATAAACCTCCAAACAGAATGTTCCATGAATATATATATATTCTTATACAAGCAAAAACTAAAGAAGAATTAGAAATTAATCCATAATAATAATAATAATAATAATAAACTTTATTAGTGTTAGGAGTATACAGTACACTTTACACAAGTCAAAATAAATACATATATCATATCATATTAAAATACAGCTGTACAGAATCTAAATACTACTTAACTAACAATAAAATTACAGATATCTATTTTCTAATTAAAGTTAAGTTACAGAAATATTCATATAAATTTAAATAAGCACAACATAACAATAAGGCAGTACTAGGCAACTACCATTACATATAATTTAAAATACAATAATTAAAAATTGGTTGTATAGAATATTATTATAAGTAATAAAAATTAATTGATATCAGATAAATCATGTGAAAGGAATTCATCTATGGAATAAAATGCATGTTTAGTAAGATAAGCCTTTAGTTTTAGTTTAAATTCTTTAAAATTGATAGGTTTCTAAAATTTAACGGAAGTTTATTAAAAAAATTAACACTAAAGTAATTGGATCCATTCCTAGTCCTTTGTAATCTAGTTACATTCAAACGTACATCAAGCCGATTTCTTTTGTTGTAAGTGTGGACTGATTCGTGCTATGTATATAAATTGATACTATTTTTTAAATATAAGAGGCATTCAAGTATAAATAACGATGGAAATGTTAAAATTTCGAGTTGAATAAAATCGTTTCTGCAATCTGCCTGATAGTGGACATTTTGAATTATTCTTATTGCGCGTCTTTGAAGTCCAAAAATTCTTGTTTTAATACTAGATGAACCCCACGATAGTATACTATATCTAAGGACAGATTCAATAAGCGAAAAATAAACAGTTCTTAGATAAGGCTTTGGTAACAAATTCGAAAGATTTCTTAGTAAAAAAATATTAGCATTAAGTTTATTTAATTAAGTCTGAATGTACTGAAAAATCCTGTTTAGCCAAGAAAGAGTTAAATTTCTTGGTCACATCTTAACAGCAAATGGTCTTGAGTGTGATCCAGAAAAAATTGTTGCAAACCTATCACAGTTAACAGAAATGTTCAGAATTTTACTGCTGAAAGACATAGAATGGTCATCAAGAAAGATGCTTTGAAGACATCAAAAAGGTACTGTCATCTCCGCCAGTCCTTAAATATTTTGATGTCAATAAAGAATTCACCTTATCAGTTGATGCAAGCTCAAAATCTATGGTTGTAGTTTTGATGCAGATGAATGGTAATAACTTGCAACCAGTTGCTTATGCAACAAAAGCACTTACACCATTTCAATAGAACTACCCTTAAATAGAAAAAGAGGCACTAGCCATTAAGATTGCCTATAAAAAATTCCATGAATATGTCTATGGAAAGAAGCTATGTGTTGATGTGATCATAAGCCACTTG